GGCATGCAGATAACCATTGATCACGCAGCTGCAGCTCCTGAGGCGCCTGCCATGATTTCACCGAGGATGATTTGTACAACGCTTTTTCCTACCCTCACTCCCTCCTTTTTTGGCCATGTAGGTTCTGTTTTTTACCACAACTTTCCAACAACACGCCCACCATCATCTTCGGACAGTCGCTCAGCTTGCTCCGCAGACAACCACGTTCAGTTTCACCTTGCACAACGAAAAACAGCGCGCTTCAGTGGACAGTCTGATATTCAATATGTTGTTCGGATCCACACAGGCGCCTTCTTGGGGTTTTTCCGGTTTTCCTGTGTTCTCAGCGGTCTTTTGAGTTTTTCTCTTCGAAACCGTTTTCCGACAGCATGACTGTTTTAACGCCACCATTGCTCCCCCAATTGACTGTCCTGCACCTGTTTTCCCATTTTCAGCTTGCTCAAATCAACAACCGGTGCTCCACGCCCACGATCCAGTGATACTTCGCCCAGCCACCATGGACGCGCAGTGGCAGCAATACTACTGGAATCATTATTTGATGCAGCAACATCATCAGCAGCTCACCAACCCAGATACCACAATTTCTCCTCCCACCACCGCACACCACACCTACAGCCCCACAGGCACCTACGGCCCACTCACTCACGCACTTCGCACACACCACGTCCACCACTCCAACCCTTATGTGACTCCACCGTACACACCGCCATCGCAGCACACACCCCCACCCCAGGCACCCACCTCCCAGCCGGAGTTTCCACCTCCGCCGCCGCCACCCCTGCCCACGGCCGAACCTGTCACTCCACCACCATCGACCTTCCAACACAGCCCACCGCCACCACCCACCACACGTGGCACCACAGCGCCTGCCCCACCACCCCCACACATCCCATCTCCCACACCACCTGTTCCCGACTCCTGGAACCCAACCGAGCAACATTGGGACTCCAACACCCTGCACGGCCACCAACTACATCGTACGATTCAACCCACCCAGTGGTCTCGCAAAGCAGGAGTGGCCGGCCTCCCCACCTTTGAGGTCTTTTGTGGCAATTGGCTTACCACGGTACCTCCGAGTTCACTGCCCGTACCTGAGCAACGGCAAATTCACAGGTTTCATTGCCACCAGAAGCGTAGCGGAGTCGGTCTTCGTGACCCTTTTTCTCCAACAACTCCGCGAGCACCGCCTTGACCTTGACGGCATAGCGGAGGCTCTCCACACACAACAGAGCACAGACGTTCCAAACAAAACTACCCATGCCCGAGCGTTCCACGCTCCCCTCATCAAACTGCTTATCGACCAACTGCAAACCCACTCCCCAGCACCTGCGGAAGGCTCCGCCCTACGCGCCCTCAAAAACACCAACGACGAACTGGCTCGGGCACGTCAGAAACTCCACGACCTCGGCAGCCCGCTCACACCAGTCAAGAACACCGGCCGATCTTCTGCACCAGCCGGCCCTTCCCACGCACCCACACCACCACCACCGAAACCGCCGCAACCACCACACCCCACCCTGCAAGACGACATCCCCGAAGGCTGGAACTACCCAGATATCCAACAATGGGTCACTACCTTTGACCCCGCCATCCAAGAAGCTGCGAACGAAGTCATCCGACTGCTGCAAACAAGCAAAGTCACCACGCAGCAGCTAAAAGAAGCAGCCACCAAGTATGGCCTACCCCTCAACCGAGTCAACCGACTCCCCATTCGCAGCCTACAACAGCTGGTGGGAGTCGGAGCAGCCATTGGTTGCTGACTCGCCATCGTGGCCCAGCAGCAACCCAGCCACACCAACCTCACCCAACTCTTCCACCTGCACCGCGCACTTTCCATGCTCATCCACCGCACCCAATACATCGACCGCGCCGAGGCCATCTTTGCAACCGGCCTCATCCACATCACACTTCTTTTCGCATACCCGTCCAACACCCGTCGCTCACAACAATGGCGCAACCGCCTCCGCCAGCTCCACATTTTACCCCACACCTACCACTACCACAACTTCCTCTCTTCCAATTCCGTCTACATCAAGCTCCACTTCAATCCCGACCAACCCCAACGCTGCTACCATCAACATGGCCACTTCTACGTTGGCTCCACAGCTATCGGCATCCCCCACCGCGAGCACAATCGCCGCGCCAAACTCAAACAACTCCAGAACAACATTCCCATCTCTGCAGAACTCTCCCTACGTTATTGGCATTCACACAACAACATCCACCACTACACCACTATTCAACTCACCTCCCATGACACATACGACCAAGCCTGGATCCAAGAGCACCACTACATCGCCAACTGGATGCCTTCACTCAACTGGCCTTTCATTTCCCACCACCTCAAACTCAAAGCTCAGGGATGGCAGTTTGCGAAACACAGAGCCCACTTCTACTCCAGACTAGCCACCCACAAACGACTTTTCCGACGCCTTCGACAACGCCAGTACACCCTCAGAGAACCACACCTCTACACTTCCACTAAGCATCACGCCCTCCAACTTCTTCGCAACCTTACCAAACACACCGCAGCCTCTTTTGAGGCAGCAAAACAGATAAGAAGCGGCCGTCACACGGACCTCGAGGTGTATGCAATCCGGCGTATGGCCGCAAATTTGGAAGAACCTGGCCGCAGCCGAGCTCTTCACATCCTCAACAAAGCCCTGATCTACCGCAACCTCACGCCACCAAAGCCAAACATCCCATTGACAGTGCCCTTCTTGGCCCACGACGACTTTACCAAGCACTGCCAACAATGGCTTCGTACCACCATCCAGCAGCACAAGCATTTCACCATCCCCCTCCACCTCCCCTCCCACAGACTGAGGGAAGCCGCCCACAAAACCCTCCGCTCCCACCTGCACAACCACCGCACATGGGAGGACACCCTCCAATCCCCCCCAGATCCAGCAGACCTCCCCGACCACCTTCGCACCCTCCTGCAGGATCCCGATACCCCTACCATCAATGGCCACTACATCCTTACACTTGACCAACTCCAACTCCCTACACACCTCAGCATTTTCCTCAACGCCAATATGAACAGCACCTATTACCCAAGCAAAGCTCGGTACTTCCTCATTTTCACGACGGCCTACACCAAATGGCTCAAACTACAGGGGCTTCCACCATCCCTAGTTCAACACCTACAGCCTTTCCTTGAGCACCAATGGCGCCTTCACAACACACACCTCAAGCAGCAACCCCGTTTTACGGCCCGCCTGCTTCGTCAACTCCAAGAACATTTGGGCCAACACACATTACTCCACCATGCCGACCATGAGCTCCAACAACTCCGGCTGTTTTGCCCTCGCCAATATTTCACTGGCGCCTTGAACACCTGGCAATCCCCCGAACTTTTCGAACCACTTCCCTACATCACTGCCGCCAATATCCACGATCACCTGGCCGCCACTGTCCCCCCCATTTTGCGCACTCGCTACAAGTGGGGCTTCCGAAAAGACTTCAACATTCCATACGGCGTTGTCCACCTCAAAGAGAAGAAGCACTGGCAAAAAGGCCGTACAATTATCTCATACTTCCAATCACTCAGTGGCAACTTGCTTCGCATCACCAGCCGTGCCCTTGACATCATCCTCCAACACCTCTACCCTCAACATCCCGGCCAAATGTCCATTCCCCAGCTTTGGCACCACTTTCACAGCTACCTTACCCAAACACCACCAGACATCTCACTACACGCCACCAACGATGACCTGGTCGGCTTCTTCAACTCAGTCCCACAGCACCGACTCATCGATGCAGTTCACTCCCTCGTCCACCACTGGCAACAACAGCAACCCACACACACCTTGACGGTGGATGTCCAGGCCACCGGCAATCCTTTCCACCACTCACACATTGGCAGACACCATCGGAAACACCCTACCCAACGCACCATCCAAACTTCCGACATTACCACCATCGTGGCTTTTGCCCTCAACACATGCATTTTCCGGGCTTGCAACAATACTTACAAACAAATCCGAGGGGCCGGGATTGGATCCCAGCTCTCTCCAGCCCTATGCAATGTTGCCATCACCCTCATTGAGCACTCCTGGCATCAGATCCACAACAACCTCCTTCAACACACAGACCTCCACTTTACTTACTATCGATATGTCGACAACCGCTTCATTGTCCACAACGAACATTTCCTTCAACACCCGGCTATCCAAACCCTCATCCACCACAATTTCTTTGGCGACCCAGTTGAACTCGAACCGGTGGAGGATTTTCATCTCCTCGGTTTCAACATCGACCTCCCACAACGCACCATCACCTACATGCAACCTTCCCAACCCTGGAAAATCCGGGATTCCACAACCGCCGGGAGCCAGCGCTTGGCTCTATCAGGCCTCCAATCAAGACTCCACACCATTCGAAAATACACATACCCACCCTCCAGCGCTGACGTTGCTGCGGCTGAACTCGTCAACCTATATGTCCAAAAGGGGCATAACTACCACGCCTGCCACCGGTTTTTGAAAAAAGCGCCGAATGCGGCGATCTGTGTGTGTCCCACCCTGGACAAAGGGTCTTACCCCACCACTTTTCCACAGGCAGGGGGGGCAGTGGACCACTATCACTCACTGCCCAACGAAGACAGTGATAGATCGGTCGTGAAACAATGCGGGACGCCGCATTGTGTACCTGCCGAGTTTTTCCACACGCTGTCACCCTACTCTTCCACGATTTGATTCATGGTGGTTCCACATGATCCTTTCCCCACAAACAGGTTTCCCACAGCCACTTTTGCAGCTGAGTTGCGCCGCTTCGTCACTGCAGTCAAGGGAAACAGCTTTTGTTCAAACACCTACAATTTGTCTCCGACTTTCCGCCATGCTGTTCTATCGCCTTCCTTCTCACCGAGACACTTGCGTTAACTGAAAACCCAAGTTCGAAGTGTGTGCGTGTCAAGGATATGATGACGCCATGTGCCGTTGTTTGTTTTTTTTTAATGGTTCGGTTGGGCCCTCACTTAAACATGCGCGGTGGACCCACATGATCCTAAAGCCGTTGAGCAGCATGAAGAATCCCGTCAAGGCCAAGGGATACCACCTGGGTCATGAACCCGAACTCTTGCGGGCTCAGAAAACGAGCAATGCCAATCTTCGAGAAATCAAACAAAACAACTGGTGCCGACAAGTCAGCAACCTGGTGGCTTGCACCAAAAATCTGCCACAAATCTTCACGAATGATGATGACTTTCTAGTACTATTCACGGTGACCCGGAACGTTCACCGTGAACGGGGACGTTCCGGAGATCGCAGCCTCCATGCAACCGCCTCCATGCAGGTGTTCAATGGTTCTCATGTCTCCAACCAAGAAGGTCACACGAGGTTCGGGTCAATGGAGTATGCCACTTGAGCTAGTACTTGAGCTACTCAAACGCTCCCAACGCACAGCTCTGAGCTTCTCACCTGTTCGGGATCGTCACCTGGATTCGCTGGGCTCGGCGCGAAGCAGATGGACTCAGTGGTTGAGAGAAATTGACAGGTGAGGCAAGTCCAACCGACTCCAAGTGTCCTGTGGAAGAGCACTACTCCTAAAAACTTGTGGCAAATCAGCCCCTCGCTTAACCCACATGAACCCGAAAGCTTCCTAAAGCTTTCCCCAGAAAAACACTCACTCGGGCCTCTCAACACGAACGATCGACTCGCGCGCCCGGCCATCCCCCAGAAGTTGGTGCTGCCATCGGGATCGCTCAAGGCAGTCAGGGTTAGACAAACCTGCACAGGTTTCGACCCAAGAGCTGGGCAGAAAGAGCTTCAAGTAATCCCAAGGACCTATTTAAAAACACTAATTAACATATCTAAATATACCCAAGTAAGTACAGTATGAAAACACTATCAGAGATGATTTGCTTTCAGGTGGCAGGGACATTTACTTTTTTAAACGTGCCTTTCGATGCTTTTTGTCTGAATTCGTCACATGCATGGTATGCATTCGACACACGTCACGCAAACATCTGAGTCCCCAGCCATGACCAGGGGCCACAACCTCGAAAAACGGGAGGAACACGGCAGGAACCATGAACCATGTGTCTTTAGTATATTCTTCGTGTGGGTGTCTCTCCCGCAAAAACCCTGGGAGAATAGAGACAGTGGATGCCTTCCCCTAGATGTTGATAAACCTCCTTCGATTCCAAACATGAAAAACTAACTGCAGTTGCAAACGCCTGCCAGTGCCACCCATAGATGATGTACTGCTCCACGCCTTCGCACCGATCACTTTCTGAGTCTCCTCACCCATGCACCGCACTTCTCTTGGCAACAAACTCCCCAAAGGCGTTGCCACTTTGGTGGTAGTACAGCACTGTGCACAGCCTTGGAGAAGGCACGGCACGCGGGGCACGCTGGAGGTTCTTTTCGTGCGATGTGGGTCCTGTGACCAGACAGACTCGTTGCCCTGCATATGTGAGCCAACAGCTCAGCTGAAATACAAACATCTTCTGAGTCATGCCAGGACCAACTGAGCTCTCAACGTGAAGGCTAAGAACACCAAACCTGGGGCAACTCATGACATGACATGCACTGATGTGGAGATCAGTATGGTCCTTTGTTGCTTGATCGACAAAGCATTGGCCAGCTGAGGGTGAATCTATTCAGCATGTTCACGAAAAAGGTCCAACACAAAAAGCCCGTCGAACCATATTCCTGCAATGCCACGGTCCATCTCTCGAGCCATTGCCACAGGACGATTTCCGGTGTGTGTGTGTGTATGTGTGTGTGTGTATGTGTGTGTGTCAACCCCTGGGCCAAGGGTTCGCCTCCACCACCACCTTCACCACGGTCTCACATGCAGGGGAGTGGTGCGCGGTCTTGGAGTCACCACTCAACGAAGACACTCCTTGAACCGCGGTGATATCCGGAAGGGACGCCTTCTGGACGTGCCTGCGTTGAACACACTGACTCCACTGGTTCCCCTCGCCGCTGTTCT